AGCATTCACGTTTTTACGAGTATCGATAGCTATGGAACCCTGAGGCAAAAGTCTAAGTAGGGAGATATACCCGTGGTTGTTGTTTGTTGCTTTATTTCACAGTGACGCAGTGAGCTCGTGGGCTTCAAACACCGCATGTTAAATTATTAATCACTGACAACGTATATACTGTCAATTAAGCCCATTAACAGCACTGCAAAGCATTAGCCTGTGTCCGTTCCCACACAGCGGTCCAGAGGCGACATATGCAGCCCGAAGAAGCGTCCAAATAGCCGAGGAGGTCTCGTCCAGGAAGCAGCCCAATTCACCATCTTCCGCCGGGTCCTTCGCAGCCTGCGTTCATCTCACGTATTCCTGCATTTTTGGGCGGCTGTAGATGCCGAGCCTCGTTGCCTCATATTAGGAGACAGCCTCGCTCCAGTCCCGCTGTCGCCTGCTCGTAGTGTTGCAAAGCTGCTTCATCCTCACAACGCCAGTATGTGATGGTGTCATTTCGGGCATTGTTGTGGTCCCGTTACATGTTCTTATCCCCACCCCCCTAACCCCGTTCTGTATTTCGTCCACGGGGGGGCTTTGATTCTCCCTCGCTGGTATAGCGTGAGCGCAGTGGACGAGGATGCGATCTCCTCCTATAACAGCGGATTACTGGAGTGTATGCAGTGCGCAGGCGCACTGGCCCCGGCGAGCAAAGAGGAAAAAGCTGGGAGGCTGCGTTCAAGAGATTTAGGTAAAACCACAACCACAGTATCAGAGATCTCACTCATTAATGTGAATGAGGTCTCCAGTCAGTGTGATGACAGATTGCGGCATGCTCATTCCGGGAGAACACATCACATGTCAACCTTACACAACTGTCTAACAATCTGTTTTTAGTTTTTTTTCAATTGGCCCTCTTTGAGAAGAGCCTCAGCTTTCATAGTCAAGGCCAGGAGGAGGAAGTGAAAGAGTTAACTGGAAGACAGTGGTGACTGCAACACCCATCATTGCTCAACTGTCCCCTCACATTACTGAGATAAGCCCTCAAACTTTCCCTCTCCTCTCCTCTTCCACTTCATATCCCTCTGCTGACCTCTTTTCTGATCCCTTGTTCTCTCTCTGAAATGTCACCATCAGAACCAATGCACAGAGCACAGCAGGCCTAACCCATGATATGTAAATACCCATATACCACTTTTTTTTGTAAGCATCTTTTGCTGCATGTGGGTTAACCATTAGCTGTGGACTATACCAATGCAGGTCAAGCAGGGCCGGCTGCGGGGCGTCATCTGTCTGGAACTCCTGCTTGGTTTCACAGAAAGGGTGTGTTCTTCAAGCACGACTCCCGCTTCTGTTTCCTAACTGGTTTGTCTGGCAAACTTGCCTTTCCACTGAAATTCAAAGAGAACAGCGTCGGCTAAGAAACGCAAACTGTTGACAGACGTGCTGCAAGTCCAAACCCGTGTCCAGAGGGCACGGCTGTTGCTGTCAAGAATGCTTGCGTCACACGGAAAAGCTGGGCAACAAACAGCTCACTTGTATAACCTAAACTCCACTCAATGACAACAAGGAAGTCCAGGTTGTGCAATCACATTTGGGTAGTTTCAATTCAGCCTAACCATGTAACAGCACACTCACAATTACAAAAAGTATTTAAAAAGGACACGATAATTAAAAGCAGCTTGTACAGATTGCAGACACGGGACAGCAGAAACTACACTGAAACAAATTGCACATAAACCACCCCGGAAGTCAGAGGACTGCAACCCTTTTGTTAGGGGTGCACCTGTCCAGAGGCCACCTGTCCCACTGTAAGTCAGCACCCAGAGACACAGCAGCTGACACAGTCAGTGCCAGAGAGAGAGAGAGAGAGAGAGAGAGAGAGAGAGAGAGAGAGAGAGAGAGAGAGAGAGAGAGAGATTAGATTTCATTTCTATTCTCCAGGGAGAGAGGGAGAAGAAGGGTAAGGGAGGATGTGAGCTGATTTCACGGTACATTGTAAGTTGTCATTTCTACACCACCCCAAAAATGCCCTGAACACAAACGATGAGACTCTCCACCAAATCATGTGAACACATTACATTATATTCTGATGTTGATTCTTCCACTGGATAAACTATGAGTTCAGGCCTCACAGGTAACACATCATCCACCCTGCCAATGTGTCTCCAGCATCTCCAGATACCAGTTCATCTACTTGACCTCTGACCTGCCCACATCCCCCTAAACAGACATGTAGAAGAAGACATGCCCATGTTGTTGTTATGTGCAGCCAAGCGGCGGGAATAACGCGATCTCCACTGTTGGGGAGCGAAACCACGTTTTAATTACGAGGCACTGTCACATAATCGATTCTATTTGTGGCCGAACTGTAAGCCCGTGAGCCCTGTCACCGGCATTAACGTTACCCACACGAAAACTCTCTCCACGATCCCATTGAGACGGGCGGCGCGAGCCGAGGACGCCGGGGGAACCTTGTAAACAAAGACACTCTTATTCAGCCGTTTGGTCGACGTTATCGACGCTGCCCGACAGTCGTGGACTCCGTGAAGTCCACTCACACGTCAACTAGTCTTACCTCAAGTCGGTCGAAGGGGGAATTATTCCTGTTTTTCGCTCGTCTGGTGCGTTAACTTTTCACAGCCATGGAGACGATAAGTTCTTTCCCCGGGTCGTACTTCAGCCGCCGTAACCTCTCCAGGCTTTAGCTCCGCGCTCGCCGCCGCATGTTTCAGACATTTGTGACAAACGCGTACATGTAAGGCGACAGTTTTTTTTATTTTGCACTCAGTCAGGTATTCGCGAGACTGATGCGACCGCGTCGGTTTTACCTCAAACAGCCCAGGAAGGAAGGGGAATCTCCAAGGAGCAAGGAGAGCACCGCACGTACGTCAAATGCGTAAGGGGCGGCCGCTGATGCCGGCCAGCGCACGTAAACGTACGTAAAATGCAATCGAGAATACGGGAGTAGGCAACTCAATTTCCCATAATCAACACGGGTATTTTCAACAAGGATATCCGGGTTCGAGTGTCGTCACGTTTGACCAACATAAACAACCAAATATATATATAATTATAAATGTGTATACTATACCTAAAAAAATCTTTAAATGTGTGATTTCCCCTTCCTCTAGTAAGCATATATTGTACATATACCCTTGTTGTGGCTAGATTTAAATCTTGAGTTTCAAATCTCAGAGTAGATTAGCCCTTCTGCCTCAGGCCAGTGTCAGATAGTAGCGCTCTAGTGTCATCTAGTGGCTCTCAATCTGAACCGTCTCAACTGAGCCATTGGTATCAGCAAATTGAGGAGCTTCAAAACATCATTTCACTTTTTTAAATGTACATGTCCTCTACAAGCTTCTTATATATGTTTCTAAAATGATAGTTTTATTTTTATACGATATAACTCACTGGCTATCACTTCGGGGATCATAGAGAATATGTGTAAATAGGAGCACTGACACCCACAAAAGAGTAACATTTAGGCTCAACCATAGACTGTATATAAGTGCTCAACAAATAAGTCCCTGTGACAACCTATAAAATGCTTGTAATATTATTGCTACTGCTTTTGTTGGTGCTAGTACAATGCTATGGGTAGTTATGCCTGCTGTTGCAACCACCACTGCCACCACAAGTGTAATTGATGCTGTAGATGCTGTACTTTGATCTATTGAGTGTGATTGCTTTGAAGCCCTTGAACTGCAGCATAAAATGTATTGGCTCCAAGGAAACATGTTCCTTTGTTTGACATAGTGTAGTATATTACTACTGTGGAGAGTATTACTTCTACTGAATGCAGACTAACATCACGTGGCTGGGACTCTAATAGCCTTAACTCTATCAACCACAATGGCAGGCCATACCTTAGCTTTTCACATATAGCCGATTCCCATCGATCCGACGCAGTGAGCTCGTGGGCTCATCAGCAGGTATGGATGTCAGCCAAATGCTTCTTAAATTAATGCTAATTGCCTTGTCAGCATGATAATAGAAATAAAAAGTATTAAAATATGCCTCTAAAATAAGGAACTACTGTTTTTATACCAATCAGTGAGTTTATGGCAATATGTTGTGCTTAACAGAGTATTATAGCTAGAGATGCCTACTTGGATATTGCTATATGGATTATATTTTTATATTTATATTTATATTATATTTTTCAGATTTAGTACCTTGAAAAGTTAGTTTTTCCTAAAGGGATCTAACTTTTCAGCAAACTATACTAAGCTTAATTCCTGTTCCAGATCTTTCCTAATTTTTTACTATATTTTGAGTTGATTTTTTAGCTGACTCCCCCAACAGTAAAGCTGTCCACACAATATGATTTTATTGAAAAATGTATTGTTTTACTGTAATCGTTTTGTTTACCAAATTGAATTGCCTGCCATTCCTTTAAAACCACGAGTGAAATGTAAATTTCCTTAGGATAAAGAGTAACATGTGAAACAAAGCGAGTCTGGATTATCTCTGTTAATGCCGGTGTCACCCGGGTTGTTTGAACCGGGGAAATTCAGAGGATTAGGCCAATATCATAAGGGTCAGTATACTTAAATAATGAGATAATGAGTGAATTCTAAAAACCTATTAATCTCTTATTAATATAATTTCCCTGTGTGCAATCAGTCGCCAGAATATACTCGGAGGTGTGTTTGAACCATTGTAGAGAATGAGCCCAGGGTTTGTGCTGGGTGAGTGATTATAGTAACCTTAAAGGAAGTTAACGAATGAATAATAATGATAAATCTCAGTAATATCCTTTAACATCCGTTGGGGGGGTGGAGGGAATACATCCTCCCATCAGCTGAGAGACACAATCTATGCATGTCTGTGATTACAGTGATTTATCTTCAGGGTTCAACGAGGCGGAGCAAAGCATCCTTTGATAGATAGAAGCAGAGGAGTCGAGAACGAGTCTCTGGGCGGAGAAAGTTACGGCTGGACGTTGTTCACGTGTATCCTGTAGTACTCGCGTGTAGTACTCGTGTCTACAGGATACATACTTTAGAAAATGTTAGTAACGTTACCGGTGTGACAAAAGTATCTTTTGAGCAAAGCTAACAAACGCTCCTGGAAGGAAAAGGAAGGACTCTTCGTCAAGAAGGTATGCGAGTGAATGCATCTTTGTACACTTCTTTTTTGTGTCTTCGTTAAGACGCGTGTGCACTTGTTCTTCGCGAGATAATTTCAGTCGCGACTTGTATTTGTGTGTGGACTACCTTTTTGGGCTAACTTTTTTCCCAGAAACGACTGAAAGTTGCTCTAGCTAGCCCGCTTCGCTCAACTCTTCTTCGTGGGTTTATTGTTTTCAGTGGCCAGTGTCGGTGCGTACACACTGTTGTCATGACAATGCTAGGGAAACCCAGCGCGGAGGCACGTTGGGAGACACAAAAGACGCCAGCCTCAGTGTTTAAGGCTTTCTCTCGCGACCAAAAAACTCCCATGAAAGTTCACAGAAAGTCTGCCACAACACCGCAAGAAAGTGTTGTGTTATTCTCCCTTTATTCTATATCAAAGAGAGACAGGGAACTGATCCTGTGTCAGTGGAAAGAAGAGCAAGGGGTCAGAAGGATATGTGCAAACTGTTGGGCTAAGGTGTGTCCTGTGTTTATAGGAGACTAAATGTGACCCTGCTAGCCAGGAAAGGGATGCTTTTAGTCAGCTCTGTTCTGTTTGGCCAACACACGTGTGTGGAAGTGACTAAGGCTTCCACAATAGAGAGTGGACAACAATTGTCTTTGGGGGAAAAGGAAAAAGATGTCTGTGTAGGCGGGTGGGGGGCAACGATAGCATGAGGGACAAAAATGTGTGTTTCATAGGGTTTTCACAATTACACGTGTGTGTGTGTGTGTGTTTGTGTGTGTGTGTGTGTGTGTGTGTGTGTGTGTGGATGGTAGGAAGGTGGGGTCAGGTTCACTTTACATGGTCATGGACTCGTGAGAGGACATGAGGGGACACCAGGGTAGTGGTGTGTGTGTGTGTGTGGGGGCTTTATTTAATATCACTACCGCTGATGTAACCACACTCACACATGCAGTACAGTACAGAATCAGGCAGCTACCGGCATGAATGTTGCTAATGACGAGCAGGAGAAGCTCTCACCTCTCATGACTCACGATTATTCTTGTTTACAATCTCATGCAGGGGAAGTTTTCACATGTCTAGATGCTAAAAGATGACAGTTTTATGGACCAGTGCCGGATAACTATCCTCCCCCTGTCCATACATAAAAACACTGGGTGGCCAAAAACACTGGGGAGATTTAACCATACCAGAGCCACAAAGCTTCAGGCATTCAGTAGGACCTTGCTGTGAGATAAACATCAGATCATTTGTGACCGTGAAAAAGTGGATTCATTAATGGATTAATCGAGAGCTCTTCTTAGCTTGTTTTGTCCGACTAACAGTCCAAAACCCAGAGATATTCAGTTTACTGTCACATATAATGAATAAACAAGGGGATTTTTGATTGAATTATTGACATGAACAATAAACCGTATGTAAAAATAGTCAAGTATTTTTCCCGATCGACTGTTTGGTTAATCGTGTTTCAGCTTTGTTAGGACACTTTTAGATGTGAAGACGTGTCCTTTTCAACACATCTACACAACAGTACACTGTATGTAAGGATGAAATCAGAACAGTGTCACTTCAAATGGAGGTGTGAATATATTTGCGATGGTAATCTTTTCAATCAAAGCAAGAGAAAACGGAAAATACTGAATTAATACAGAATCCACAATACATGCAGTATGTTTAAATAGCAATAAATTACGACGTGCAACATTGGTTTATATTCGTCCTGCCAAGTATCCATGTACGTCAGCCTTCCCGCGCTCCTTGTGTGTTGGGGCATGCAGCCACATCTCTCTCGTCAGGCTTTCACCCGCGGGGCCTGGAAGCACACATAAACATACACACACACACACACACACACACACACACACACACACTCATACAGTCATGCACATGGGGCAACATGAACAAGCCTACATCAAAGATACATCTGTTCCTTATGCATGTTTGATGGGACAGGCAGGCAGCGACTGGCCACCGCTCCAAGTTCCGGCACAGATTAGTATGCATGACTAGGTGGAAGCAAAGCCGTGGACGTGGACTACTTTGTTCGAGGGACAGAAGGTAATTACAGCACAGATGTGTGACAGCAGCACTGCAACATGAGGAATGTGTTGAATGCTCTTTCTTTTGTACAATTGCATTAGATGACGTTTTTGGCTTACTGCTGAGGATAGAGCCGCAGCATTTCATAAAGCTGAGACACTAGTGAGTTCAGAACTCTCTCTGTGCACTTGTCTTTTGTCCCCACTGTTTGATGTATTGTTGGCCTTTTTTAGCCGTGAGCAGCTGGTTTAAATCCCTTTTGTCTGGTTGTCAGTCTGTTGGCCGAACTTCGTCTTTCTGGTGACACAGTTACAAAAAGTGTATCGGCCCGTTTCCCAGACTAGGATTAAGACCAGTCCAAGGACATTTCGGAAATTGCTCAAAAAATGCCACATCAGATATTCTGGCTTCTAAAAAGTAACAAGAGAGAGTGAAGATATGAATTTCCCTGAGGTGATAAATACAGTTCTTGTAATTCAGTCAAATTAGCCAATACAACTTATTCCTGTATTGTATTGATCATTTATACAAAACATTTCATCATTAATATCTTGAAAAATGCTCATTTTTGTCTTTAGAATATAAAAAAAACAAAGAAATTGAATTACAATGGTATGAAAAAGAGAAAGATAAGCAATCATCAAACTTGTCGCAAAGTAATCTGTTGAAAAGACTGTCAGATTAAGTTTCTTTTGATCCATATGACTAATTGTTTGAGCACAAGTTATCAGTCAAGTGTTCTTGTAACAGCGTGTAAAGGTACGGATAAAATGGTGAGTTAGTTTGCATTTATGTCGACATCGGCTGTCCTTGCTTCGCCAAGATTCTAAAATGAGTGAAAGCTCGGTCGGCTGCGCATCAATTCTGACTGTGGCACTTTCTTGGCACCGAGAGACGCGCGCATCCCAAATGTGAGTGAAGTTCACCTTCCAAAAACCACTCGGCACTTTTGGAATCAAGGGAGAGCGCCGTCGGTTCAACTCGACAATGTGTTTCCCTTCTCGCCAGATGTTCTGAACACGCAGGCTCGGGGCGAGAGAGGTGTCACCACCCGTACGCGGTTCACCCAGGTGCTGCAGCTCTGCATAATTAGCTCACATTAACACAACATAATATTCATTAGATTCAGTGAGAAATAGGCCGCAGTGTTACTGGCGCACTGGAAGGATTGTGGGCGGTGATTAAGACATTCTTTATGTCGGAAAGCAGCTTTCACGCACATTTTTTGCACGTATCAAAAAGTCATTCACTGTCACTGCTGTTCAAGTATATTCCAAATGTAAAAATATCAGACATAAACCGATGGTAGTTGAACAGGATCCTCTGTCAGGATGAATCGTCAAAGATGGAGAGAACTTCTTCAAAGTCAAGACGTCTAAGTACAGAGATCCTGGATAGTCATTGTGAATACATACAGGGAGGTCAGAGGCAGCAGGGAATCCAAGGCCAGCTCTGTTTACATCATAAATCACACGGTATGAAGACAACTTTGAAACTCAACACCTCAAGATGTGAGAGGCCTGCAGAGGCCCTTAAAGAGACAAGAGAGGGGCGGCGGATGGAGAAGAGCGACACAAAGACGAGGCTATGGTTTGAGTGATTGTAGGTGCTGGATGTTTCCAGAAACATCAATGAAAAGCTCCGCTTTTTAAAAAATGGTTTTGATGAGTGAGTACCCTGTCTGCTCATTCATCATTTCTCTCTCTTTCACATACTTCTAGGTCTATCTGCTGCCAGGCTAACACACATATATGTGTATGTGTGTGTGTATGTGTGTGTGTGTGTGTGTGTGTGTGTGTGTGTTCCCAGGTGAAAGCCAGGATTCACACTGTAAGAGGAGGACTACCAAAAACCAAACCTGGGGAGCCGCTGGAGACCCGGGGTGCTGGAATGGAGCAACTCATAGAGTAAGAGAAATACTTATTTGTGTAATATTTTTAGAGCAGCGTTGACACAGTTTGTTCACGTGTTTTATTGTGTTTACTGAATGAACTTCCTGTCTCTATTTTGGGTCTTCCTGCAACTGTTTTTGCCCACGCTGGTGTTGTGAGCATTGCACTGGTACTGGAGACGCATTTCAGCCACATACATATATAGCAGATTATAGATTACTCCATATATATATATATATATATATATATATATATATGCATATATATATGCATATATATATATATATATGCATATATATGCATATATATATATATATATGCATATATGCAGTGTTTCTCCAGTCCCAATGCAATCCTGAATATATTTATATATAATGCCAAAGCCTTTCGTTTTCTGAAACCACTTTAAAGAACCTTTTAAAAGACAGAACTGTCCTGAAGGTTTGTAATTAAGTGTTTTTGAGGACGTTTGAAAAGGAAGCATGAAGATCGGACTGACTGTTATAAACACAACATCTTGACAGAAATTGAAAGCAAGCCCAGTCGCTCTGTTCTTAATGGACACCTCCTTCGGCAGCTGGTGACATCTAAACAGATGCTGTGTGTTCCTCACTGTTTTAGTGGGACGGGTGGATCGGTAGCTTGAAGATTTACAGCTCAACATGTCTGGGCATTTTAAAAGCCTGTTATTTCCTACTTATTTATTTTAGCAAAAACAGAACTTATCATCATCCAGCATGCGAGAAGTTGCGGTTGCAGATTTCATGAACGGAGTTGTTGGAAAATCAGGGTTAGACGCACACACACGACTTCACAGTCACAGGGAATACAAAGATGAATTTGAATGGTGAATTTGCACACACAAATCCTCCGGGGCACACAATTAGACATGAACTCCGTGGAACACAAACATTTTTACTCCACGTCTCCTTTTCAAACAGTGAGTCAGCAGAAAAAATGAAAGAAAGGGGAATGATGCCACAGAGGAGAGATAACCAAACTGACTTGTGTGCAGGCAACCTCACACTGTTGGGGGATGGGGAGCTGATTTATCTAACCCTACATACCTCTGGTCCTCCTCTGTGGGGGGACTTCTCCAAACAACACTGCTAGACTTGATCTATCCATCCATCCATCCATCTATCTATCTGTCTAGCTATCTATCTAGCTGTTTATCCAGCTAGCTCACTATCTATCGCTCTCGCCTACTCGGCTTTCATTGTGTGGTGTTATTCTCCTTCAAAACCTGCTTTTCTTCTTTCCCCAAATAGTAGCCTCCATTGCAAACACATCCCTTCCCTTCCCCTCCTCCTGCTCCTCCTCCTCGTCAGTGCTGCTGTGGCCGGGCCGAGCGTGATACGAGCCACGGGGAGCTGTATCTTCTTCTCTACTGCATGTCCTCTTCTTCCCCATTCTTCTCAGCAGCACATTCTGCAGAAGGATTGGCATTGTGTCTCCGGGGTGTGTGTGTGTGTGTGTGTGTGTGTGTGTGTGTGTGTGTGTGTGTGTGCGTGCGCGCGTACAGTACAGTCAAGTGCTGGATGTCTGTGACTGTTCATTCAAGTATGTGTGTCAGTGTGTGAGTCACACACTCTTTGTCATTTCATTATACCCATCTCTCACCGGCGCGAGTAGATGCAACATGTATAATTCATACCCAGGAAGGGGACGCGTGCCTACGTGCTTTTTCCCTCCCACTCACTACGCCCCGACCTGTCAAGTGGAACCATCCATTTACAGTATGTCAGTACAGCGGCCCCCCCCACCTCGTGTCTTGTATTGACAAGTGACGCATCGGTGATTGTTGAATCACCTTTGGCCCCCGGCTCGATGAGGTTGCCAACCTGTCGCTGACAACGGCAACCGGGGGTTCCTGACTTGAGCAACTCAGCTCTCGGCTCCGGCCTGTGACTCATTGGGGAGTCATCGCAACAGCGACATAGTTATACTCGTCGCACACACACCTTCTCCGTTATTAGACAAACTCTTTTGGAGTCTCATCTTGGTGTGTGTGTGTGTGTGTGTGTAAGTGTACATATGTGATGTAATTTGTCTGTCCTCCATTTCTCTTTTTGTGTCCAACTACACACACACACACACACATACACACACACGCTCACACAGACACACACCAGTATTTATACCAATCAACATGATTGTAATAGAGTTTGTCTTTTTTCAGATGACAACGGAAAAAGCAGAACCAGTAATTGTTTTGACATTTTGGTGCATTCCAATTACTGTTCTGCTGACTCGGCGTCGATAAGAAAAGGCCAATCGTAATGATGAGGACGGGTAAATTGGGTTCAGAATGGCGGCCATTCGGCCACTAGAGGGAGACACCACCATTAGTTTCTAGCATTAGTCAATGATATTATATTATTGTCTTCATGTGAATCTGATGTTGACTTTCATAGCGGCGTCATATTTCACTTTTTTGTTTGTCACTCGTTTGAGTTGATAATTCAACTTGAGTTGAATTTGCTCGGAGAGTGGGCGATACTGCCGCTTCATTTGAATGCCTCATATCATCTTCTCACGTTTCCTCTGTCTCCGTGCTGTATTGAACTCCTAAGAGGCTCATTTGCTGATGTGGATGTTTATTGAAATAGTCAAACACACAGAAAATGAGACATGTATACATGCAGTGGGGCTCAATATTAGATTAGTCCTGTCTAATGTCCCATGACACCACCTGTCATGTGTTGACAGTTAAACCCAGGTGTGTGGTGACATCTTTGTAGAGGCGGGCACCTCATCTACGTCTGCATCACAATGTCACTGATATTACATATAGCATAGCGTTGAGTCACGTTACAGTCAGAGGAAGTAGAATGCCATACCTTATTTCTATGCTTTGGAGATAGACATTAAATCTCAGTTTAAATATGGCGCCTAGATTCCCTTTTTACCTCTCATTACTGGAGTCATTAAAGATTCACACCATTGTTTGTAAAAAATTGGAATTTGGATGAACTACGGAGGACTTGAACGTTTTCTCAAGTTTCGTGGTTTTAAGCGGTTGTGTGTATTGCGTTTTTGGAGTTGGATCCTGAAATGTGTGCAAACCGATAGCCCATAGCAGATGATTCATGTTCCCCCGGAGACAATGAAAGCGTCATTACCATCACCATCACCATCATGCTGTCGGGGCAGCAGTGCTGTATTTCCTGTGACCGATGGAGCCGCTGTGTGATCGTTGGTCGGGCTCGTCCTTCACTGCGTGCTGTAAGCAGCAGTCAACCTTTCCACCCGATGCGTCTTATAAACTGTCCCGTCCTCGGAGCTCAGTCCAACGTTTAGTCGTGGTCCGCCTCGGGCAACAAATAAAGGAGATGGCTGTCGTGCTGCGGTGTTTGGGCACTTTAATGGCTCATTAATGTCTCTGCTCACATCACAGTCACTTGTCTGGAACAGCTGGCCAGAACAAATTTACCCTGTCCCCCTTTTCTAGGGATTGAATTACTTGCACTGCGGCTAAGCTGGCAGAGATGTGATGAGGGGCTCCGGCTCTATAGATTCATTCACACAGCCTACGAAGGAATCGGAGGAGGGAAATTGAGGTCTAAGCTATTCGGTAGAGGTAATAACCACAGGCTATTTTGGGAAAAGTGTGATGTACCGAGGTCACTGAGTGTTTTGATCAGGATGAAAAGGATGTCAAGTAACACAAAGAACGTACAGAAAAAAGACTCACTTAGACTGCTGGTGTGTGAGTAAGACGTACGCTCATCACAAACGTCATAAGGCTCTTGCATGCTTGCGTAGCCGTGTTGCTTTTACTCACGCTGTGCAAGTTAACAGACAGGAAGTGTACGGTTGAGATGTTTGTTTCCTAATCTTCACTCTGACTTGCTGAGTAAACACTATCTGTCGCAGTCAGCAGGTAAACAGAGGGGGGTGGAGGGGGGCTAATTGGACATTTGGGGCTGAGCTGTCAGAGTGAGAATGCTTCGGGGCGCACAGACAAGTTGATGTTAATACATCTGGCCTTTTCACAGCAGCAGTTTATTGGGATCGTTTTTTTTCTTCTTTAAAGATGATTCATGGGGCGCTGCAGCTATCAACGCCTCCTTCGTGACTTACACTGCAGTATTTTTTTACCCAAATCACCTTTTTAGTAACAATCACACATTTAGCTTTATAACAATGCCTTCTCACTCGTTATTTACTTTCACTACAGACAGAAAAATGAACGCATCCTCCACAAAGTAGCGGTCTGAGGGAACACTTGAAGCTTCCTTCTCGGGCCACAGGTTGAGGATTCGTCCGGTCTCACGTCTCTGATGTCAGACCGGTTGTTTTTTTCGCTGTAGTCGGCCTGTTGGTGTAATCTGTTAGAGTTCAGTCCGCTTCCGCTCATCACTATGCGTTCACGCTGAGTGGAAGGCGGCTTGCATGCGTTCGAGTTGAGAAGACAGATTATTGGTGCATCACAGGGATCGGGCTGTGTTTTTTGTTTCCTTGTTGTGAGTCTGATTCTCCGAGGCATAGCTGGAAGGTCTCATGTCTGCAGATAGACACCATCTCAGCACACTGTCAAAAACAAACCTTGTACAAACACTCACATGTGCCTACGGACTAACACAGCCTTTGTGATCCTTTTTGTTTGTCATTATGTTGTCCTGTCATCTCTTTCTTATTGTTGTTTATTTGTAGCGTGTGCAGCTGGCTTTCGGATCAATCAGAGCTTTCTTAACGAGACCGGAAAAAGAGATTTTGATTGCGTCGTGGTGATTCTCCTCCGTGAATCGCCACCTTATCGTGGTGGAGGAGTTTGAGTGGCTCAGTGATCCTGGGAGCTATGTTGTCCGGGGCATTAGCCCCTGGTAGGGTCTCCCAAGGCAAACAGGTTTCAGGGGAGAGCCCAGACTAAGAGCGGTTCAAAACAACCCCTATGATAGTTAGCCCACGGACTACAGCCACCTCGCCTGGACCAGGGAAACCGGGGCACCCTCCCGGAGCCAGACCCAGGAGGGGAGCTCGTAGGCGAGCGTCTGGTGGCCGGGCCTTTG